TTCATGAAACTTGTAGAAACTTTGCTCCTCTTGGATTTTTGCATTCCTGCCAAACTGGGAGAAAATTGGCCAATGAGTAGAAGCAAGAAGTCGTTTGGAGGGCATGGGGAGACAAGCACACTGCAGGGAGACAGTGAGTGTTCACTTCACCATCAGAAGTGAAGCAAATATTAATCTGGTATGTTCCTGTTGCTCTCTGAAGTGCTCAGAGAGCTGGGATATTCTTCTGCTCATTGAAGCAGATCTGTGCCTCCATACAGTTTTCAGTGTAGGGCTGCAGCTATGTATAGTGGGACTCTGTGCTGAAGATGAATGCATCAGCTTTAGAAAGAGCTTAGAAAATGGCTGAAAATCTAAAATCAAAAGCATGATGGCTGCTTCTCCACACAGAGGAGAAACCCTCTGACAGAAGGGTTGGTGGAAGAGGTGGATTTTTCATCCCAGTCATTCAGTGCCAGCATTTGCAGCTCTTTTTTTCCTGAGAGACTGATACACGTTTTATAGCCTATCTCCATAGCTGAATAGCTGAGACTTCAAACAAACATACCTGCCTTTCTCTGTCTGACAGAGCCCTGACATGGAAAGTGTCACAGAGGAGGAGAACTCCAAAAGCCATTCACATGGCATTCTTTCTGCCTCTCCACACCTCTACTTCATATCTCTGTGACTAAGAAAGTCTTACCACAATATGAAGTCTGCTGGCTCAGGCCAGTTTGTTGGATTCACAGAGAAGTTCAGGCTCAGATTCAGAGGAACAAGATGGATTTTGTTAGCTTGTGGTGCTCTGACTTGGATCAGGTTTTGTATAGACAAGTTTCTTTGCCTGGGTGTATCCCTGACACCTTGCTCTGCCAGACCGGGGGAGGTTGCAGTGATGGTTTAAACACATCATAGCCTGTCACAGGAGGGCAATGGAATCAAGCAGATGGTTCCCCCCCCTCTCCTCCCCACTGTTTCAAACAGACTATCATTATGGGAGAACTTGCAGTGTCCCAATAAAGCACTAAATTATAAACCTTGCTTTTCCAAATGGAATATGCAGAATTTGCTGAGGAGCAAAAGTCTGATGCAGCCTAGACCCTCAAGGTCACCATCAGAAACAGGGACAAACCCATATTATTACAGAAATGTGGGACAAAACACATGGGCTGAGTTTATACAGGATTGTTGTATATGACCAGAGTCCATTCCTTATCACAGAATCAATTGGGTTGGAACAGACCTTTGAGAGCATTCAACCTGTGACCCAACACCACCTTGCCAACCGACACCATGACACAAAGTGCCAGTCTCTTTTAGAGCATCTCCAGGGATGCTGGCTCCACCATCACCCTAGGCAGTCTGTTCCAGTGTATAATCAGCCTTTCTGTGAAGAAATTCATCCTGATGTCCAGCCTGAACTTCCCATGACACAGCATGAGGCCATGTCCTCTTTTTCTATCACCTGGGCGAAGAGGCTGACCCCCAGCTCACTACACCCTCCTTTCAAGCACTTGTAGAGAGTGATAAGGTCACCCCTGAGCCTCCTTGTCTTCAGGCTGAATAACCCCAGCTCTCTCAGCCACTCCTCACAGCACTTGTGCTCCAGACCCTTCACCAGCTCCTCTGCCCTTCTCTGGACTCGCTTCAGCACCTCAATGACTCTCCTGAGTGAGAGGCCCAGAACTGGACATGGCACTCGAGGTGTGGCCTCACCAGTGCTGAGGTCAGGTGAGCAATCACTGTAACATTCCCAGTCCTGTAGTGAAAGAGTTTCTGTGCTACCAGCAGTGTATTGAGGAGCATTTTATGAAAGCATTGTTATAAACAGTTTCACATATACACGTGTGTGTGGTTAGAAGCAATGCCCAAATATCAGCTGAGACTGAAGGCAGGAACAACTTTCCAAGATTGTGAGATTGCAGGGATGGCTCCAGTGGAGCAATCCAGAGAAGAGCCAGGTAGGCAGGATCAGTTTGCCATTCAAGGCCTAACAAAGTTAAGGCTGGCTTTTTGGGTGTGACTCATGGAAACCGTATTTTATATCACCGAGTCTTTTGTCATTTTGATATAACCACAACATTTCTTCCCCTCCACTACTTTAGTAATGTGCTTGGAAGAGATTCAAATTGTGACCAGAGGAATGGTAGAGAATATGGTAACCAGTCTGCTTGCATTGTCAAATAACTGTAAGGATGTATGGCTAGTTAATTTGGAATTAGAAGTAATTAGTAAAGGAGAAGGGTTCATGTTAAGATTAAGAGCTGACTCAAAACTCTTCTGTTCCACCTGTGGGTTACATCTCTTTAAATGTTCAGGCTTGGGTAACTAAAATTAGTGGACAACTTTTTTTTTTTTTCTTATGCTTGTTTTCTAATTAGGCAATTTGGTGGTAGAGTTGAGCCCTACACTATATGATTGCAGAAGCTGAAATGCCTAATTGTAGATGCCTGCGTTTGAAAAAATAATCCATTACCTATGCAAGCTTTCAGCTTCTTCATCTCTAGAATAGATAGTATTTCCCAGTATGGCTTTTGGGACTTTGTTAGTTTGAATGGATTAGCACAAGACACAAGCTTTACATTTTTTTGGCCAGAAAAAGTGCCATGGAAATACAGTATATTATTGTGATATCCTTTGAGATGTTTCTGTGAAGCCAGTGGAGACTGTCAGGATAATAAAGAAAGCCTCAGAGAAGCTAACGAAATAATGATCCTACTTCCTTTCTAGCTGTTCTTTGAAAGGGCAAATGCAATGAGTGAAAATGGTTTAATGAGAAAGAGTCATTAGGGCACCCAGCCTGCATCTTCAGAAGTGTGAAAGCATTTTGGGAGATCTTAAAATTACTCAGAGAACAAATGCAAAGTAGCTCTGTCAGAATATTAAACTGTTATTTGTGTTCTCTTTTAATGCTGATTGAAACCAGTGATCTCTTTCACTGCCTGGTGGCTGGTACATGTGTAGTCACAAAAGTGGCTTGTTCATAGCTATAGCTGCAGTGCTGTTGGAAGGGTAAGATCAAGGAAGTACCTCTGCTTGCCCTCTGTCTGTTATCCTCTGCTTAGAGCTTACTGTTTCCTGAGGATTCCTGACCTGTTGAATTTGCATTTATAGGAGGCCTCATGTACTGGAATTAATTGTCCTGGATTATTCAGTTTCATTAATTAGGCTGCTTCAGTTTTGAGATTGGCTGGAGAGGGAAGGCTGCTATTATTTCTTTGTTTGTTTGTTTGATATTGATACCTAGTGAGACAAGAGCTTCAGGTACTTTGGGTGGGAAAATTCTATGAAAATACAGTACATTATTGTCATATTCTTTGGGGTACCTGTGTGAAGCCCAGCAGGTGATACTACTATGCATTAGTACACAGGAGTGGTAAGTGCAAATGGAGCTAGTATTAGCTCTATTTTTAAATTAAAGTGTTAACCAAAACACAAGGAAGCTGTTTGAGACTTGAAGCACCTTGGCTGGTGACTGTTCAAAGGAGAAAGACTAGTTCAACATATTTAAGGAAAGAAGGACTTTACGAGGTATTTAGAAATTGTCCTTGAAGGATGCACTGAAGGAAATGTGTTGCAGCCACATCAGTAACAAAGCAAGCTTTTGACTTTTTGATTCCTACTACTTGGAAGCCTGAAACCAGCTGGCTGGTTTTGGTCACTCTTGTGTCACCTTGGTGTCACTCTGGGCTCCAGTAGCAGCAAGGAAAGCAGCAGAGCTGGGTGCAGGCTCTGGCGTGGCTCAGTTTCTCCAGCCACTGTTCATTGTGATGCCAGAAGTGGCTTGGGCCATTTCTCTGCCAGACAGAAAAGGAGCAGAGGATTGGTCTCAAGCAGAACAATGAAGCTGCAAATTCTAGAGGCTTGTTGAACTTACAAAAACAAATTACTGGAGATAAGTACTGGGAAAGGCACAGAATTGCTGCATGTTCTCTGATCATCTGTCCACTAAAAAGCATTATTAGAGAGGAGGGCAGGGGCCATGGATTCTCATCCTAATAAAATTGTAGATATGTCCAGGTAGGTTTTTACGGGGACCTTTTCTTGTCAATCTGCTGAGGGCTGTGTTTGCTCTGTCCCTATGACAGAAGCTGAGTTGGGCTGGGAGCCAGGCTCTCCCCACATGGGGTAGGGGAGTTTTTCCAGCAGGGTCTGACACCCCTTCCTCCCAAAGTCACCTTGTGCTGAGCACTCTTCAGGTGTGGGATCCTGTACGATGTAGCTGGTGGCTTGTTCTGGTAGGAAAAATCTTGTTAGGAAAACGAAGTATGAAAACCATAGAGAAACAAGCAGGGCAGTGAGGTTTCAAACATGCCCACAAATGAGGAGGAGGACACCACAGAAAACCCTCTGTGACGAAGCAGCCCTTTTCCCCAGTCACGAATGGGTAATGCCACCCCCAGATCATCTGCTCCTCTGGGTGGGATTTGCTAGTGTAGGGGCCTGAATCTGTCTCTGTAACTCAGAAAAATTAAATGCCTGGCACAAAGTAGGCTGGGGGTGACTGAGGACTCAAGATGCCAGTTTAGGCACATTTTTATCTAGACATGAGTTCAGCTGTTACAATTCTGATCCACATTTGGATCCTCATCTTCAAGTCAAAAATCAACATACCTAAATAAAACTGTTGTTGTTGGGTTTAATTTGGATTCTTATGTTGGATTTGTCTGAAGAGAGAATTTGTACTAAGGGTGCTGCTGATATCAGAGTCCTCTTATGTGTAGGTACCATTTGCAATCCCACACTGGCACATGAGGGCAGAGCCTACTCCCAGAGTCCACCTGCATGGCAGCACCACAGCTCCCTAAGTATGTACAATCAATAAATGCAGACACAGACACTGCCCCTAAGGACTCAAGTTTTGTTCTCTTTTCTGCCGGCCACCCTCGATGAAACATAAAATCTTGTGTTTTAAGCATTATAATGCTCAAACTGTAACTTGGAGCATCTGTGCACACAGTCATTCCCTTCCCTGAGCTCTAATAACCACATAAACTCTTTTTGTCTCCTCTTTTCTCCAGGTCAACAGACTATGGCACTACCTATGAAAAGCTAAATGACAAAGTAGGCCTGAAGACTGTGCTGAGCTACCTATATGTCAGTCCCACTAACAAGAGGAAGGTAAGGGAGAGCCATTGCACTGGTAGCTATAGAAACAAAATGACAGCATTCTGAGAGGAATTATGATCCTCAAATGAAATCTGTTGGTAATTCACAAGAGCTTGAATTTGCTGTCTAAGTTGCACTGGTGGAATTCCACAAAATCCCACAGAACTGATCCTGCTTTACTTGTGATGGTGATGAAGAACTTAATTCCCTTCTGAATTTGCTGGAGAAGTAAAAAGGTTGCTTTTATTTGCTTCTAAATGTTACAACTTTAAAGAGCTCACTCAAATATTTCTGGGTTTCTTGCTTACAGCAGCTTTGGCTATTATGCATCTCTCTGCCTTATATCTCATTATTAGAAATACTGAGTAAGAGGCATTTATTTCTGCATTTGACTCTTTTTCCCCACATTTGGAGGTAAAGATGTAAATGACATTTTCTTTGGTTGCATCATGTAAGGGGGCTGAAAGCAGAATATGCCTGTGAGAGTGGGTGGAAGGCCTACAATTTGATTTGGTTGTGTAGGAGAGAAGATGAGGTCACAGCTTTCCAACCCCCTGCTCACTCTTCCCACGTGATGCAATTAGGGCTGCAGCTGGCTCACACAAGCACAGCCCAGGAACTGCTACTCAGTGCCTTTTTGCTTTAAAATTATTGCCTGTGTTGATTCAGGGGAGCTAGTGGGACAAAGATGCTTTCAGCTACCCACAGAAATCAGTGTGGGAGGGCTGCAGCACGAAGCTAATTGCTGACAGTGAAGTTGTGCTTGGCCAGTGTAGAGGCCCAGTGCAGCATGTTTGGCTTGATCACTTCCAAACTGGCCATATCCTGTCTCCATCAAAAGATTTCCAAACTAGTAACTCGCTACTGGTACTGTTCTTATTATGACTGTTGTGTTTTCCATCACTGGTCAGTCTACAGATGTTTTGGGACTGATGTTTATTTCAGTGTATGCAACCATAAGGCAGACATAGCTCTGGTTACTAAGTGTGTTTGGATGTACAGGGAAGAGGAAGAAAGCAGTGGCCAGAGTTTGGCTTATATTTTTCCTGATGCAGGAGCTGAGCTATTATGACAACTACCTTGACTTTTTTTTTTTTTTTTCCCTGAGCAAAACAGATTAAGATGTTTTGTAGTGAGTTTTCCTGGCCTTCACACCCATCCTGTATCCAATATGGGGGGCATTGAAGAGTTAATTCTTCTTCATTCTGTTTCCAAAGCAACTCTGCCCACCCAAAAGCACAGGCAATATGCTCAGTTACAAATCCTACGTCACTGGTGTAAAGACTCCCTCACAAATCAGAGTACAAGGATATATTATTATCTTCTAGCAATTTCTCAGGCTACTGAGCTTTACAGATTAGGAGTCTTTTTTTTTTTTAATTAAAACCACCTACATTTCATCATCTAGTGGCATACAGGCCTATCTTTACCTGCTGTTTACTCATTTGAGATTAGAAATTTAAAAGAATTTTTTTGCTTTTTGGCTCAAGGAAATGATTTTTGGACCTATCTGTGCCCTTCTTATCCCTTCTGAAAAATCTTATGAAATGTAGAGACAAGCTGTAAGAAAAACTCAAAGGAAACCAGCTTCAATGCTGGCTGCTGTGGGAAAAACTTGCTTCCATTCTTTCTACCTCTGCTAAATATATGAGCACTGTTACTGTGCATGCTTAAACAGCTGGTCTGTCTGAACTCTGCTTTGTTAACCATCAAAGCAACTCCAGACATTCATGTAGCACTTGAGAAATGCCTGAACAAGGTGTCACCGGACCAGAACACCTGAAATTTGTCAAATTCAGGTTTGGGTTTATTGTCCACCCACTCCTCTTACAGATTCTTGAGGTTATGCACTGCAAACAATGCACTAGGGTTGCAGTCTTCTCCCAGTCTCTCTGGGTGAAGATTATTCCTGTGGCATGGGGAGTAGGCAGAATGGTTTTGCTGAGCTCCTGAGGACAGCTGCCAATACTGAATCACAAAGCAATAGGTGGGTCCCAGCAGAAAAAGCCCAGGTCCCTTGTGGTTCACCTCCAGCAGCAGAAGTGCTGCCTTGTTGTGCACGATGCAGGGATCTCTTGAGAGCTGCAGAAGAGCAGAAGAGGTCTTTGCTTGAGGCAGTGAGTGGGGGGGAGGGACCAGCAGCAATCACATGCACGGAGCCAGTGTCACTCATGAGCCATGCAGACCTCTCCAGGAAAGGTGTTTTCTCCTGAGGCACTCGCTCCCAGGCACTGCTTGGTAGCCTGGTACCTGCCTGCCTGGTAGCTCCTGTCGATTTCTGATGGGCTTGTGCATTGCTTGCTGGCCCTGTCTGCTCATTAGTGCTCAGAGGATTAGCGCTTACTTGGAGGAGGAGAAAAGCTTTCCATACATTCATTCCTAATTGATTTACTAGTGAGAGGGATAATTACTGCTCAGCTACCCTGCAGAACTACAGTGGGAATTACCTGTCAGATTTCTTTGAAGACCCCAAATGCCTCTTTTCAGCTGTTAAATAGGAATTGTGTTCATCCAAATGCCAGTTATATAAACATCATTTACCTGAATTGTGGCATAACCCTGGGCTCAATTATGAGGCACAGGGATTTAAAAGCTGGCATTTTGCTTTCTTCTTTTAAAAGAAAAGCCTTTTGTTTCTGATTTCTTTTTTTGAAAAACTTTGGTGGGAATATTTTAATTTTTTTGGCAACCTGTGCTGTATTTCTTGGAGGTCAGGTTTAGTCTGTAGCTGTTTCTGGCTTTTACGTGTTGCCTCTGGGTGATAGCCACCCCACCCTCCTCATGCACAGAGTTAAGCAAGGCACAGAGCAAAGACAGCTGAACTGGCTTTGGCTGTGGAGCAGATCTGGGTCCCAGAGCTCCTGCCTGCTCCAGGCGCTCCCCAACCTGCTGATGGCTGCTCTTGGAGCTGGGACGGGGTGTGTCCATTTCCTAGAAATCACAGAAGGTGATTTGCTGGGAAAATGCACTTTGCCCTTGTGCAATTTGACATTTGCAGCTATATTAAATCAATTTAACAACATGCACATACCAAAGGAAGCTGCTGGGAATTCTTTTTCCCAGCTGTGATACCTGAGTTGTATCATCCCAAGGGGTCAGGGCCAGCTTGGTGATCTGACACCACCTTGGTTGCCGACATAAGGGAACTGCAGCCCACTGTGAATGTGCAGACTCTGGCTGCATGGCAGCCAAAACACTCCCTGCAGTGAGCCAGGACTGCTCCAATTTCCCATGGAGCTGTCACACTGCTAGTTCCCTTCTCCTAAGAGCTAACAAGTTCAGGGTTTCACAAGGCTTTGTAAGTGTATGGAAAGCCTCTGCTGCTGGGAGTTGAAACTGCCAGACTTGGGTCTGCTCTCCTGCAGGTGGCTGGGCTGTTTCTCCTCTCACTTGCACAACAGGCACTTGTGTTTGGATCAGGAAAACCTGCATTGAGCTCTCCTTAGTGCTGTGAAATTCCAGGTATCTTTGCCCTTAGCAGTCAGACAGCGCTGAAGTCCTGGGGAGTGGCTTTTTGAGAGTTCCTGTTTTGGGCTCTGGGGAGAAGCCAAGTGCCTGCAGTATTGACACTTCCAAACGCATGAAGATGCTCCAGTAGGCAGAGTGTATTCCAGGGCACATCTTCCCCTTCAGTGCACCTGCCCACCCAGCTGTTGGCCTGAGAGAAAGACCACATGTGAAGCATCTGCTTTGTCAAGTTGCCAAACAGGTTGCACCAATCAGGTAACTTGTGGTAAACTTCAGAATGGAGAAATTTTCATATTTGTTTAGCAGTACCCCTTCCTTACAGATGAATGGGATTTAAAAAAGCAGATGTTTGAGTGCTCTGAGAAGCTGAAATTAGCAAAATGCTTAGCTTTGGCTTTTCTACCCTGTAGCCTGTTTGTCTTTGGGGATATGACAAAAAGCTGCTTACTTTCTGCTGGGCAGAGATCTCAGTTCCCTGCTGACCTTTAATTTAAAGCTGTGTTTTGAGTGTTAGTTACATTTTACTAGAGGCAGATTTTCACAGTGGTCTGGGAATTAAAAGTGTTTATTTCTTCCAAAACACTAAGGGAAAAATCTCTTCTATTTTAATAGAAACATTTCTCATGACTTTTTAAATTTCCAGTTTCTTGTTATCCCAAGTCTCTTCTTTCTTTATGGTTGCTGAAAAAATTCTGTTCGAAAATTGAATAATTTCCGCAAAAAGTTAAGCTTGTGCTTCTTTCCATAACTGGCTGCACTTCAAAATGTCACTGCTTGGAGCTGAAATGCTGTGATTCCATATTTTCTAGCATGAGTTGGTCTGCTGGGTAAGATCCCCTATTGTGAGAGCATTTGCTTTCTTCTTGGTTGTCAATAACAGGGTTCATTTTACAATTGATGCCTCACAGAGGGATGGAAAGCCCTTCCAAAAGGGTGCAGAAAGAAGATGAGGATTGAAGTCCCATATATCTGAAGCACTGCTCCTTTCAGGCAGAGAGGAACAACTTTGAATCTCACGGAATTGTTGAACCATAGATTTTAGGTATTACTTTTTCCTGTGAAATACTCTGTAAAGAGTGCTTATTCTTGGTGAAGATGTTGTTTAGTTGAAAATCCAGTTCTCAGTAAGAAACTTTTATCTCTACCCTTGGGAATACTGTGGAGGTGGAGACGATGGAGTTAAAAAGAATGCAAATGAAAGAGAGGAAAAAGGAAGAGAATAACAACTCTGACAAATCAACTCCATTTTCCTGTATAGAGTATTGTTCAGATAAGGTGTGGATAAACTGGAGGCCCTGATTGCATTTAAGATCTGAGGTGACAGTTCTGATGTCTTAGAAATACCTTCCTCCATGAATTTGCTTTGCAATTCAGTTGGCTGCAGTTGTTTTTAGCTTTTCCCCTGAGGTATTACAATCATTGTTGCAAGTGATGACTTGAAGAATTAAAAGGTCTGTAGACTTTTATGCTGACTGTTTGAACAGAAGCATCACCCAGGTGCAGTAAATGAAATGAGGACTCCCCCCATTTTTCCCTTGTACTAG